GCTCCGTGGCTATGGAAAGTTAAATTGTATGCCTATCCAGAATAAGTAAATAGCAGCAGCTGACATTGTGATTTGGCTGGAATGATTCGTCTAAAACTCTGGGGGCACGTGTCGCTGCAGATAATATTCGCTAGAAGTAAGATTTTTCTGGACATTCTTAATAGATACTATAAAAAGGGATGCAAAGGAATCAGAGGAATTTGTTTATATATATGTAAAGAAGTGAAACTTTTAAGAAAAAATACTACTCTAAAAAAATGTAGACGCATAGAAAGTTAAACCATGTCCGCATGTCCATGTTTTGACAAAGATTGAGTATTCCAATGTCAATGAAGAGCCCTTATGTAAGCTATAGTAAGTCAGATGCAAGGGCAAAGAAATATTAAAAAAGTTGCTATATTTTGGCTGCCCTTGAAAACAATAAAATTTTCAGATCCTACATTCCTCCTTTTTATACCCTGCACTTATTGAAAATAGATGAAAGGGAATTATAGTCATATCCAAAGTATGTAAAAGGCAGAAGAAAGCATCTCTGACACCATAAAGTATATATACAATTGGTCAGCATTAAAATTCGAGTCAAATTATTTATTTATGTTTTCGTCGATTTCAGAACCTATAAGAGCTAGAAGCTTAAGAATTTGAACGTTGGTCCTCCCAATCCGCGCGATAATCAATAACTTGTCCCATTTCGAAGAATTCGATAAATGTTAATATCACAAATCTGTTTCTTCAGCAAATCTCTTAGATTTTAAGATTTTGAATCACTAACTTTGCCTTGTTGCTTCTAGAATAGTAAATACAGAACAAGTATCTTAAATTTTGTTGGCATCAGTATATTCCCTAGTCGGCTACTCTCGACAAGAGCAATCTATTTATTTTTATTCGATTTTTATTATGGCGTCAAAAACTGTTTATTGGCATTCATAGCTGAGAATTTTCTGTATTATATGCTATTTTTGTGGCAAAGAATTTGACAGCTCAGTTCCTGCAGCAGCGTCTTTGTGCAGCAGCCCGTGTGGCATGCACTTCAAAATGCGTCGATTCGAGGGAGTGGTTATTATTCGATTGAATGCTTGCAGAAAATGGCATAAAATGTGGTTGCCTTGAGAAATGCGTACGGATATTTGGCGTATTTGATAAATGATTACCAAGAAGCAAGTGTTGCTTGATAGAAAGACTTGAAAGTGCTTTTAAATGTTTTGCAAGTTTTTCCATATATTGTAAACTAAACTAAACTATTTAGTTACTGCCGATAAATGTGTTAATTGCTGTCAGCAAGAGAATGCAAAAAGTGATAAAACAGTTTTCAATGAAGAACAACAACTCGTTAAACTGTTTAGCGTTTAAGTAATTAAAAATGTTGACGTTTATGGAAATGATATGGCATGGCTAAAGTGTTCCAGTAAATTGATTACAACGGTTTCCTTTTGAAGTGGTGCACAAGGCAAAGTACATTAGTCAAATTAAACAAACTGTTGTCAACACGATACTAATACAGGGAATTGACACAATAGCTAAAAGCAAAGCCTGGTAAAAAGTCAAATTGTAACCTTGAAATCTCTGCTTCAGGCAATGCTGCGTATACGCATTTTGCGCCTAAATTATTCAGGCTTTGTTGGCGGCTGAGCAGCACACATACAAACACACCGCTACATATAATAGATGTATTGATGCATGTATGAGACGGCATACATTTATGTAAAGGCACTTTTGTGGTTTGTTTGCTTTTTTATTATTGTGGTTCACCATTTGCATTTGGCCTGAGCTTAAGTGAAATATTTATTCGACTCAGAAGCTGGCCTTTCAGGCATATGCCCAGCAAATGCAAAGCGCACGTGTCCAATGATTGATTGATTGAAGGCACAAGCAAAGGAACAGCTGCCGAGCACAGGTATGCTTGTTGCTAAGCTGACAGGATTTTCATTTCTTGCTGATTTCCATAGCAGTCATGCTTAAAGCATTCATAAGTGCAGAAATGTTACTTTAATTTGAGAGCCTACCAATTGGTTGCCTACTTTCAGGCGCCGTTGACCCACAAAGCAGGCTGCAGACTATTAAAAACTTAAAGCTGAACATAAATTGAAAGCCTAATTGCATATCAATAGTATTTCGTCAAACTGCAGCACGCAATGTGGCACAAAAACGTCATAAAAAATGTAAGCAATTTTGCACAGGTGCGCTAAGCACAAAAAATGAAAACAACAGCAAGAAAAACTATGCGCCCGCCGCGTTGCGTGCTTGTTGCCATTTTGGATGCGCTGTGGCCCAGTTTTTGCGGTGGGCGTGATCCCCGGCTCAAGAATTGTAGGCATCAAACAATGGCACAAAAAGTCGTTCAATTTGTTACGCCCACTATTGCTGATTCTCCCAAGGTGTCCAGCCACAAAGTAAAAAATCTATTGCAAAACAAAAAAAAAAAACAGCAAAAGAAAAAATGAAAACAAAAAAAAATGGAGCAACAGTAAATGAACTCTTGTGAGTTGTTTTAGCCAGTTCTTTCCTTGTTTTTTTTGCAATTTTCCGGGGCTCATTAATGAATAGTTTAACGCTAAACGTTGTCACCGTGTGTGAAAAATATTCCAAGCATGTTCCCTGTGTGTGTGTGGGTGGGTGTGTGCGCGTGTGCTTAACAAAATTGTTGCCGCAATTTTGTAGTACGACATTTTTGTGTTGCAGCTGCTGTTGTTTGTCTCCTTGAACCAGTTTTGTAAACAAGCGAGCGAAGCAAAACGGCGACCCAGTTGTGTCAAGCAGTTGCCGCTGTTCCACTTTCACACACACTCACACACACATACACACCACCACCAGGTAACAGCTGATGGATATGCGTTGCGGCTATATCACAAAGCCAGCAATCAAAAGCTGCCAGCGGAATCCATTGAGACAGCGCCGGCCAGCATTGCGTTCGAGTAATTCGCCGTAGAAACTCATGTGCATGTAAATGCAATTCTATAGAATTATGGCAAAATTGTTTGGCATTTGGTTAAAGCAACCGGCTACACGTGCCGCACTTTTGGCCATTTCCTAGCGGAGGCTGTCCACGCGTGGCGTGAACAATTTTCGTGCAAGGCCAAATAAATACATAAACAGCAAATGGTCAGACACTTTGATAACAAATAAATTTGCATCTTTAAATTGTTTTTTGGTTGTGTGTGCGTGCGAAATTCTAATTTTAAATAGTACTTTGTGGCAATTTCTAACACCCTTGCCCCACTGTGGCGGCAAATGCCTGTCAGTCACTTTTAAAACACTTCTGTATTTGCCTGAACAAAATATTCAGACAGCAGTTCCGGCTGCTGTTAGTAACCTGTATTTACATATAAATGTAGCTGGCAGCTGGCAGCTGGGCTGCTCTGCTGCCAGTCAAAGGCCCCAACAGACACCACAGCAACAGCATCTGTCGCCATTGTCAGCTGCCGTTTTAATGGATGGATTTAACAGGTTAGTAAATGACAGTACACCAACCCATCGCGTACAAGGAAGGGAGTTTCACTGGGTATAATAGACTAAAAGATACCACATGCACATAACATTAACTTATAGCAGTTATCTTTATCAAGTTTCTAATTTTGCTTTTTTTTTTTTATTACATATAAATCATGTGCATATTATAAATTCTATATAGTCGAGCATTTCTTTAGAATATATACCCTGCATTAGATGTTTTGATCCTAGCATAAGCATGGAGTCTGTGTCTATGGATACAAATGTCTTCTTTCAAAACAGCATGAGGCCCTTTAAACCCATTTATTTTACTTAAAGGATATGCCGACAACTTCCAAATTATTTTAGATGGCTGTCATTCTAGTTAGGAAAACACTATTTGTTACACAGAAATTAATTTCTGTGGCATCACGCTTTAAAGCGTTTAGTGTTAATAAAAAGGTAAACAAACATGAATTCCAAAAATTTGCCGGTTTGGGGTTTGGTCAGTTTTGGCATGCATGCATGCAATTCGGACAGCTCGGCTATTATGTGGATGCGAGACGTTTTATTTTATTTGCTGCAGTCTTACAGACACTAAGCTGTGGGTGGTGGGCAGTTGGCTGATGGCAGCTGCTTGCAGGTGTGTCCTGACAGCAGTGCAATGACATTTTAAGTCTGACAACGATGTAGCTGCTGCAAGGCTACATTTATGACGACGTTGGTGACAGCGACATATAAGAGTGCGCCAACTTTTGCCACTGACTGTATTAGGCTGCCAGGAAGTCGGCTTCGTCAACTGGCTTGGGAATTTGTCAAATATGCAGAGTGTCTGGCGTTCATAGAATATTCAGATGCTTCAAATTTAAAATATGCGGGCCTCATAAAATTTTAAAAATCTTTCGTTGCGGCAAAAAAGTTGCCAGCAAATGTTGCCAAAAAAGAAAATAAAATAAAATAACATAAATTTAAGCTGCGTTTCAAATCAAATTTAATATGTGAATTTGTTGAAAATGCGCAGCAGCTGCCAGCAAATCGCGTACATTATTGAAAGCCCAATAGAAGCGAGACTGAGCTACTCTTCTCTTATCAATATATTATTGCCTGACAAGGTACTACAAATTATCTTGAAAAACCTTCTACTTATGTATTTATAAGCTATAGCAAATACATATATATTAAGTCTTTCTTTGTTATTACATATGAATACAGCGTACGGGCAAAGTTTTTTCCACGCATGCCACAAAATTGACAACTTTCTTTTACCTTCAGCTTTTCTACTTTACAAACCGCAAACTTATTAATTAGTTCGGCGTACTCTTCGATAGGGTATTACCGCAAGTGATTATGCATAATAAATAAGTCGGCAGCAGCAACAATTTCACTCGGAAAATGCTCGACATGAGCTCATGTCGCAAACACGCAGCTGCCACAGCCCCCGCACTTGCCCCCTGCTCCACAAGCACACAGACAGAGCAGGCCATAGAAAATCGTGAGCTTTTCTATATGCAGTTCTTGTATTATTTGCTGTGGGTTTATTGCAAACGTGTGTGGATGTAGCAAATCGCTTAGAATCGAGAAGATGTTAGGAAATTGTGTGTAAATATTATTTTTAAATTGACAGCAATTCAATGAACAATAACGTAACAGGGGATCAATGGTGAGAAGCATACAGATAGGAGAAAATAAAAGCAAACATTTGATACAAGGACAATAAAACAATTTTAAACCTAAATGCTTGTCTCAAGTCTTTTGGGCTCAACATCTGAGGGAAATCACTTGAGAAATTGCAGGAACAAAAAAATAATTAAACAACAACCTGCGAATCGTCCGAGATTGACAGCGAAACGTCGAGCACCATTAATCATGACAGGTCATTAAAGAACATAGAGCAGAAACTCGAATTCGGAATACGCTTTAACACTTCCATGAAAGAGCTGTGTTATCCGTCCGCACAAGCATTCATCTCTATATGGACGTTTCCAAGAAGTGTTCTTTTTGAAATGAGTACTGGAAAGGACTCTTGCTTTGTTGGATTTTTCCTTTTGGGCCATCGCCCACTCGATTGGTCTGAAATTGATGGGCATGATTGGTGCAGACTCTGAACAAATTCTTGTTTGTCCCCTCTTGACATTTTTAATGCTCTGTTTGCTTTGTCACAAATGTGCGGGCTCTTCGCCTTTGAAATTTGCCTCACTTGGCTCTGTTCTTGGTACTTGCAATTTAATTAAATTAAAAATAAAAAAAAAAAACACCCAGTCAATGCGAGCGCCCAGTTGTCGGGTGATTTGTTTTAATGTTCGACGGTCAAAGGGCCTGCAACAAAAACAACCCAATGCTACCCTTTTTTGGGGCAAATACTTTAATTAGTAAACATCGTTAAGAGCGTGCGCAACGCTAATTTTCCTAATAAGAGGAGCCAACATTGAAAACAGCCCATTCATAGCCTCCTAAAAGCATGCTATAGAAGATGATTAAACGCTGAGAATAACAACAACAATAACGGGCACATCAAGTATCACAGATGCTTATATTCGGTGCCCGTTCTTGCTCCTCTCCTAGAAATTAATTGCACAATTAACACAGTAATAGCTCCCACATTTCCGTCATACTTACAGACATTATATATGTATATGTAACAAGTTTGTGCGCATTCGTGTGCATTATAAGTGATTTTTATGCTATTCGCCCTGTGTTTGAATAATTGAGCGACTGAAGGATTCGTCGGCCTATTTTGTGAATACTCAGCATATTTGTCGAAAAAGCTTATATAATTTATACGGATAAACAATAGTTTACTGATTTTCTAAAAAATCGCTTTACTTATTTAACATGCATACAATATGACTAGCAAATATACCATACAATTTAGTGGTAACAGGGTAACCTAAAGTTGTTTTTGTGCGCCGGTGTCTTGCTCACTTATTTATCATCATCATCTTCTCTTGTGTGCGCAACTAGTTAATGGGTAAATCATTGTATAAAGCTGCATATATAAGTGCTTTAGTTGGTTTATGGGATGTGCGCCTATTATTCCGGACACGACTGTAGTTATGGCCTTAAGCTGTGGAGTGTGCGACTGCTTAATAAAGGATTAATCAAAGTTAATGCCACAAGCACACAAGCACACACTCATATATAGTTAAGCAACAATAACAAAAACTCATACTAATTGCTAACATTGCTGGACATTCCAGGAGCCGGAACCAAAATGCCTTTTATCCAAACAATGGGCAACTTTTATTCATACACATTATGCCAGTTGTGTGTGTGTGTGTGCGTGTTTGTATTAATATTCATACGTAGCACACACTTATACGCTTAAAGATATATGCGTTCACATATGTATACAAGTATTCACACATCGCATTGGCACGGAAAATTACAATTTTCATATCTGATGGCAGCGTCCACGCCCCCTATAACTTTTCTTTTGTTGTTTAACGAAGGTCGTCAGCAAAATAAAAGCATGGCGACGCTTTAATAGCTACTGAAATGGTCAGCACCGTGAGTCATGTGGGCCAATTGCCTACCAGTTAGTAACATTTTTCAATACATAACACCTTATGCGTGGATGGGAGGGTGGACAGGGAACTGGCCCAACTTAATTATTATTTTAAATAGGGCTTACAATTATCACAACTTTAATCTTAACGTGTGTTGCTGCCAGCTGCCATATTTCACTTTCTGATTAATTAAATTCAATTAACTCAGCCCCACGAATATGGAAATATGGCAAAAAATTATGGAACCCTCGCATAGCCCCAAACTATACGATGACCCCTCGGGCCAAAGCTTAAGAATTGTATTTTAATCCGCTTGGGCGCTGGCGCTGCAGCTTATGTAAATGCTCGACCAGCGCGCCGACCCACACGCACACGCGCACCTCAATTACACACACACACTCACACAAGCACACACATGCTCATGTACATTTGAGTAACAGTTACCTCACCACATGTGCATTGATTTAACATTTATATGCCGCTCTAGAATATTTATTCAAATACTTTGCATAGCGGCACCAAGGAGCGTTCTGCTTGAAGTGCTTGCTGATAAATACCCTTTAAAATTGAATAGACTATTGAGCACAGATTAAATCTCTACTGCTGCTGCTCTTGTTTGCATACCTGTTTAGGTTCTTGGAAATTTATGATTTTAGATACTTTTTTCTTAGTTTTCTCAGCTGTACAAATTTTCAGAACTTCTACAAGCCATACATAAACACACACACACACACACCACAGTGAGGGCTCATTAATTTTTTTTTTACGAAATTCTGGAACAATTATTCAAATAGTATTTTTCACCAAGAAACATTTTTGGAGTTTTTTGCATAATTGGGATCTGCTTCAATTTGCTTGTGTGGCTAGAAAGATACCCTGTACTTAGTCCTAAAGGGTAACACAAAGTTAATCCTAATCCTCAAACCCCTTTTTACGCATTTATGACCGTAAGGATTTCCCTTTTAGTTCCTGTGGCTTTACAAATTTTCGCGACATTTCCACAAATCTCATGCACGCAACTGAAAATTCTCAGTACGAGCAAACATGCAAATGCCTGGCGTTGTTTAATTTTCCCCCGGGCAGTTCCTGTTGGAGGTTCCATAAAAACATACGGAACGCATTGTGCGAATAGTTACGGAATTGTTGCAGATAGCGGGTCATGGATACAACTGGGTAAAGCAAACTGAATTCAGTTCAGACCAAGCCTCAAAAGGAGGAAATCGGATTTATGGAACAGGAAGGAGGCGCAAGTTTTGGAGAAAATAAATTGACACAGCAATTTTGTGGCTGGAGGATGGATGCGTGTATTTGCAAGGCTGTGGTTAACTAAGGAATCGATTTTAATGATAGCAATGTGTATCAAGTCAAGTGTAAAGTGGCCAGATTAAACACATATTACGCATAGCTGGAAAAGCCAAGCAGAAAGTCAGGCAACGAGGATTTAGTGGGATATTTTCGAATGCTATTATTATAAACACACCCTCGAGCATGCAGCACAATTTGCATACACCGCAATTTCAGCTTTAATGCGCTTGTTCACAAGCACAGGTCCCAGCGGGCCGTAAAAGGGCGCCGTTGCCGAGAAGTATGCAACAGTTTTTGTACACAAAACGTTTATTGCATGACCGGTTCAGTCGAGGCTTTAAAACGTAGCAGCTAACATGCCGTAAAGCTAAACACTTTAACAAATTTCAATATAATTTACAATGTTTGCTTGTGCTGATGTTTGCTCAAGCATCGCTGGCAGCAAATGAAATTTTGATGAGGCAGTTAGCGTTTCACAGCGGGGTTGGCAGATTGTCGAAACAACGGAAAGTCATCGTAAAAAATATATAGTCAGTGGAGAAGTTAAAGAATACGCATGGATGAGGGCTCGTTTTAGTCATAAAAAAATTTGCCAAGTAAGTGAATTAAGCCAAACTTTTGCAGTTTAATGGATTTCCTGTTGTCCCTGCAAAAGGTTTGAGCATAAATACAAACAAGTTTCTACCAAATAAACTTCAAAATATTAATTGAAGGGCAAACGGCAAAGTTTTGACATAACAAAGCAAAGTTCAAATGAAAAGAGTTGTTTCGTTGTTAGTTTTTATTGTCTGACTGCTTCGTCTGCTGCTCATTTTCTTCCTAAACATTTGCACTTTATTAATCATAATTTTCAGCTGCTCAAAATTTATGAGCGTTTTAATGCTTTGTTATGTAAAACTTGAACTTGAATTCTTGTTAAGAAATTCTGAAAATGTGTTCGTGTGTGTAGCAAAAATCTGGGAATTTCTTTAATTTACGGTTTACCATTGTAATGAGTCGAAAAACATCTCTATTATTCTTCTGGTAATGTTCAACAGTTTAAAGGGAAGCTTAAAGTTTTTCAATTATGAGCTTATGTTTGGACTTTGGAGAACTGTGTATGGAGGTCAGTCTTTAATGAGCAGGACCTGAGGCAATATTGAACAGCTGTCAGTAGGAAAACAGCTGCCGCTGAGAATCAAATTTCAGTGACGGCTGTCGGGCATCAGTTGACCAGACATTATTCATACGTGACGCAGTGGAAAATTCGATACACTAATTAGTCAAAGGAAGCGCCAACCAAAGGCTCACGCTCAAAGGTCTTACAACAGCTGGGCGTGGAGTGTTAAGCGCCGCTTGCTAATGAGTTTTTCATTGCAGTCCGCAAATTAACAGCCTAGGCAAATGAATGAATGTGAGCGTGAAATGAATATGACTTGTGGCTGCGCGATATTACTTAATTTTTTATAATTGCTTTGCTGGTACAATTTAACATTCAATTTGACTGTAGTCGCATTTCCCCTTTTAACTTGTACCGGCACAAATCTAATAAATATGCAAATCGTAGTCCAACAATCTCTGAAATATATGCAACTAATTACGGACTAAATATAAGCAATTTACAGAAAATAGCAGGGCATATTATTTAAGTGGACCACAACATAACTGGTATTTGCATAATTAGCACAGCTTGCAACATCTTTGGGGCTTATTTCGGTTTGCATTCCCAACTGCTCGTCTGTTGCTTCAGCGTAATTAGTCATATCTCTGACATCTGTACACACAAATATATGTACAAGTAGAAATATATATATATATATATATATATATACATAAGCATCATGACCTGTAATAACATAAATGATTTATGTCTCGACTTTAGTTAAATGTTGCCTTCAGATATGACTTTGCTGTTGAAAATCCTATACGTACTTGGCTGCGACAGCTTCCAGGAATTAAATTGAATTGTGAACGGGGGGGTTACAGTTTGTACGGCTTCAAAGCTGTCTAAATGCTTGCTTTGATGATTTCTGTTGAGTTTTGTCTTAAGCCTAATGTTTTTTGCTCTCTTTAAAAACAAAAATAAATTCAGCTTAGTGTCTAATGATATAAGCCTTGTTAAAAGCAGCCCATTGTTATATACCCTATTTCCATAGGCCAAAAGAATTTCCCGAATTAGTGTACATTTTGTTTGTTAAGTCTTCACCCGTGTGGTTGGCGGGCATTAGAATACTGCCACAGCATGTCACCGCTTGTCGTATGAGGCGACTAAAAGAGACACACGGGTCTTTCAGTCCCGGGCTTCAGGCCAAAATTGATTTTAACCTAGCATAACCAGCATTGAATAACAACTAAGAGAGATAGTCTCTAGAGACTCGGACTTTGTCTTTATTAGTATTATTTTTATTGTTATTATTATACTACTTATATTCTTTTAATCTTATTATTATTACCTGCGACTTAACTATTTATTGTTGTTATAAATACCATGGACACAGTATTGAGCAGTCGAGATCTCTCCAATCAGGATTAAAGGCACACGTCACAAGTTGACCGGGGGATCAGGGCTCATTAATGAATGTAGCTTGTGTTCTTAACGAGCTGCTTAAGCTGGCCAAAAACCACATATCAGCAACCTGGCAGCAGCAGCAGCAGCGAAATGTTAGTATAAACGAAATGTAATACTGTGTGTCATTTTCTTTTTTTCAAATGTTTTCAAATGCAAATGTTTGGTTCTTGGGCAGTTTCCAAAAGCCAAGCTGCAATTCAAATTTGAAAATAATGGCTCTGACGAACGGCTAGCTTAAGTGGATATTTTGAAATGCTCGATTGTGCACACGATTATCCTTGCACAGTTGTTGCCATCTAGTTGAATATTAGCATATTTTGCAAGGGATTTCAACAGAGAGAGGGTCCTTGAACTGCAGTGCAGTTTGTTAAACCTTTCAAAATTGTATTTTCTCTGGACTTAGTTTCTTACTCCTGTTTAAATTTCT